TTAAATTGGATGGAATAGTCCCATTAGAGTCGCTCGGCGAGCGTCACAATTAACATCAACATGAAAAGGTTGCCGCATACAGCACCAGAAAAGTTTATATTTTTAGATAGATACGGAAATGAGCATATGAGATTATTTCCAAGAAGTTGGTAACGCTGAGAGGAGAGACTATTAATAGACCGATGATCCCCGCCACTAGGCTTTCAAAAACGACTGTCCCTATTAAAGCGATGATTTTTCGATGACTCGAGTTGTATACCCGTGTATTATGGCGTCACCTTAAGAGCCCTCAAAAAAGCTTCGCAATTTTCTTTGAAAAGTAATCATCCTCTCTCAGATCGCAGGCTCTGTCGTGATAAGGAGGAATATCGTATGAACCTTCAGACGTCACCAAATTCCCCTCAATGTGACACACATTTTCAGGGAAACATGAGAATATTTTCCTTTTAATTTTTCAGAGAATTTTATTCGCATTTTGATACAAGACAAGTTCGAAGGAAACTATTAAAAACTTTCCCCAATCCGAAATCTGTTATCGGGGAAAATTTGGCAAAAATGAAAAGTTCATACAGTATTTTCCCTCAGGACGGTAGGATTTCACATATACGCATATCACCTCAATTTCCCGTTCACCCGTAAAATTTTTCCAATCATATTATTTTCATATTTTCATATTAAATAAACACATATTTTCACATTGGTGGAATCCATATGATTACCGTTGCCTGACATATATTTAACTAGCCAGCTATACAAATACACGGAGTGAAAATCACTATAAAACTACACGTAAAATATTGAGTTTAGCTTTTTTTGGGGACGGGTGGGGGGGGGGCGCAAAACTGGTTCTCTCATGTGTGAGACAAGGACCAAATCAGCACATTTCCTCTCTAGTAACCTCTTTGATTATTTGGACGAATTAATCTTTGTTTTCTAGACGGAAGAACGTAAGTAATATTCAACGGTGCGAGATTACCGCTCACAAATTGAATTTTTAAGGGAAATTGTTTAAATTCACAACTGAAAATTGCACTGATTGTCCGCAAAAATCCGCTAAGGAGGGATATCAATACGGGCCGTTCATGGGTCAACCCTCTGGTTGCATTTCCTCAACTCTACGGTTTTTTGCTCCTTAATGATTTTTATTTTACGGAATGCATCATGACCCTCGTAAAAAGTGGCAGTAGAATCTGTGTTCCAAAATACCATAGACCTAAAGCCGGCTGTAAGATTTTCAATAGCTTCTGTAGCCGGCTGTACAATTTCTTATAGCCTTTTGTAGCCGATGGCGATTAAGCAACAGCCAGACTATAAAGTTTATGCTAAACGTTACTAAATACGGATACTAGGACTTGGTGAGTTTTTGGACTACCGCTCTCTTTTTGTGCCGTATCTTGACATATTTTGCGAGGAAAGCTCCGTACGTTTGAAGGATGCCTGTCATTCTTAATATGTTGGAGCGCCTTCAATTTCTTATGATACTGTGCAATACCTCTGGTGTGAAATAGTTGCTTCAGACGCCGTGAAACGCTGCGGCGCGGTGCGGCGGGCGGGCAGAGAGCTCGAAACGCAGATTGGAGCCTACAAACCTAGCAGTGATACGTCACGCATTGCGCAATGCGTGAAGTATCCCTGTTAGGTTTGTAGGCGCCAGTGCGTCGCCGCTCCGCTTTGTGTTAGGCTCTAATATTTAATCTCGCGGAGTCAGCGTTTTTCAACTCATGATTCTAAAGTGTTTGCACACTCTGTATGGATTATTCTCATTTTAATTGATGAAAAAAAATGTGTTTTAAAGGAAAACATAATGTGTGTTTTGTAAACATTAAGGTAGTTCCGTAAAAAACTTAATAATTTTCAAAGCACACGAATTTCTACACAATTTCTTATAGCCTTTCATAGCCAATGGCGATAAAGTGTAAAGCCCGGCGATAGAAAATATAGCCTGACTGTATACTTTTTTATAGCTACGTATAGCCCGGCTATGATTTGATCCGCTTTCTACAGCCTTAGCCTCTTTCTATAACCTTCTTAAGTCGGCTATAAGAACTCCTATGGTATTTTGAAACGCAGATCCTATCGCCAATTTTTATTAGGGGATTTAGATATTTCGGATATCTTTTTAGGTCTAATACTGGCCATAAAGAGAGTTTGATACCGATTTTGGCTAAAAGTGCGAATATTAGCGCATTCAACAGCAAATCTGCATTTATCGTCAAATTTGGCCTTTAGATTCATGAGCAGGCCCTTATTAGACCTGAACAGAGACCAGAAATGACCACATTACGATGCACTCTATAAAATATAGACCTCAAATGGTTAAAAATCGTAAAGTTGAGGAAATTCAGAGAGGGCCCAAAAACGATCCTTATCGACACCCCTCTTTTTTGACAGAATTTCGTCAGTTGTATTCTTGTAAAAAATTCAACTGTTTATAACCCTCTATGGCACTGCGTCACGAATTCGTTACAACATATTTTTGGAGTGTTTAAAAATTGGATATTTCCCTTGTGCCATAATTTTGCAAAATTTCATCGGTTGTTTCTTTTTTTGAAAAATTGATTCCCTTGACTTTAAAATTTTGAAAAAAAAATTTGGTGCCTTTTTTTTATGCAAGCTACAAAATAAATTGATGTCCCCTAGAATCCGAGATCCAGAATTAATTCATGCCATGTGTCAAGTCAACCTTGGATCGGAATAGAGAAGTTGCAGGTGCCAGGTGTCTGAAGTTTGATGAATTTCGTGTTTAAGTGAAAACTACTGAGTGAACAGAACACGAGGATACCCTTGGTTCATGAATTGAACAATTATTGGAGAAGATACGACAAAATGATCTAATCTGCTAAAATACATGAGTTTAAATGCGAAATACCGCCAGATGACGTCACTAGGCGGCGCATGTTCTCACTTTTAAATCAATTTTTAGACTATTTCCCATTGCAGAAAAAAATTATAAAAAACACTGAAAAATCAGCTCTTTAGGCACTTTCAGATGAAGCAATGAAACATTTGCGTGCAAGTTCTCCATTACAATTCCATCGCAGCGGAAACGACGAAATGACCAAAAACGGCCCCTTTACTTTCCTCATTGTATAATTGTCCACTAGCCTGACATAACATCAAAATTAAGTTAGGGGCCGGGCGAGCTAAGCAGGCGCAGTTCATTTACATCACGCAGGGGTCATTGAAAACTGATTAACGGCATGCGCGATTCAATTTAATCGCGCACTCGCTCGGCTCGCGTTGCGACGCGCGAACTCGGAAAATCGATCGTCCGACCCAACCGCGAACGGCATGGCACGGCAGTCTCGCGTCTCGCCGCGGCCGAGCGCGGCCAAAGTTCACGTTGACTCGTTTATTTTTCGCTCGTCCCTTCATAGAGTTCCATTCTTACATTCCTCAGCATCTAGCCGTGTTTATTCTAGACTTTCTACTCGTGTTTCAACCTTAAAATGCCTCTTGGGGATGCAATGAACGGGCCGTGTTTCTAGACTGTCAATCGATGTGACTCACTCCAAGTTCAATATCATTAAGACAACAGTGCCATGTGCTCCTTGCTTTTATGATTTAGTCACCCCCCCCCTCGCCAAAAAAATCACATTTCGGTTATCTTTACAAGATTAAATTTGAAGTGTTTAACACCCGTCGAGTGAAAATAGTACATAAGGGTGGTTGCCTCCTCCTTGAATTGGCAGTCGTGTCTTTGTTTACATGCAACTTCTGAAAATCGAGTTTGGTTATGTTTTGCTGTCATTCGGTTTTATAAGAAATACCTAAGTAATTAACTCTTGGAGAGTGCGGTTGTCATAGTGAAACTAGTTGCTGTCGTTCGTTTAAGAAAGGAAAATGTCCAAAAATGACCGATGTTGCGGCGTCTCGCTGTCAGTTTACCGCCAGTTCCTGTCAGCGATATTTTGTAAGTAAATGCGTTTTTTTTTTTTGTATTAAATGAATGGGCACGAAATGAAAACTCACAAGACTTGGTGCTAAAATGGAATGATTTGTAGACGAGATGGGATTGCCCACGCTTGTGTATTTTCCGCCATGGCTTTGAAAAGTGTATTGCCTCTAGAAAAGTAGCCTGAATCCAGGCTAAAAGTTTAATTTTCCTAGGGAGGAGTGACTAAACTAAAGGGCTACAAGGTAGTAGAACACTGCTGGAGTCACACTTACCTGCGGGGAAATCAAGGCGAAAGAAATTCTGAAAATTTCAATTACAGTCACAAAAATTTTACTTTTTTTTACTTTTTTTTGGCCTTGATTCCCTGCAGAGTAGTGTAAATCCAGCATATTACTACATCGTAACTCACAGTTTGGTTTGGGCCACATTTTATAGTTTTTTTGCTTGTTTAACATAGTGGCGGATCCAGAGTGAGTCAGAGGGGGTTGGGGTGGGCATTTGATGATGTCAAGTGGGGGATCTGGGGTGGAATACCTTCCAGGGCAAGGGAGGTCGGGGGTGGGGGGAGTCAGGAGTCTCCCCCGGAAAATGTTCAAAAAAATAGCCACTCCTAGGTTGAATTTTTAGCAGCAATTTGTGCATTACTTGAAAGTTGAAAATTGAGAAAAAATTCCTCTTTTAGAGAAATTTTATTTAAGTATATGGCCCATTCATTGCTGGTATATTGAGGAACCTTTGGTTCAGTAAACTTTCTTAAATAGTTCTGGAGTTCTGTCCATCATTTCAGTAAATTTTTGGAAGCAATTTTTTCTGTCTCTCCCTCTTATCCCCCTTTCCTCCTCGTTTCCTTCTTTACCCCATATTTTGATCCGGAGGGGGGGGGGGCATGCCATCACGCCCTCCCCCTTAGATCCGCCACTGGTTTAAGAAGCTGCGTAGTCTTTGTTGTCTTCGATAATGTTGACACCGATGGCTCGATAAGTATCGATATATTTTTGTTGATAGACTGGTTAAAGGGGTTATATCATTGTTTCGATCCAATTTAATTTTGATACAACTGACATTTGTTTCGAAGGAGGCACGAATCCGAGTAACAGCATCTAAATCAATAAGCAGCATGAGAGCGAACATGATGCAATAACACACCCGCTAAAGGACATAGGCAAAACGAGATTTTAAATGCATTGTACAAAAAGTACATTCATAAAGTTGGCTCATAAGAGATTTTTGCAAGAATGAGTGCAAACTTTTCGTGATGAAATTAACCTGATTTTGAGCTGCCAGATGTTCAATTTTAGAGCTCATAATTTCTTCTTTTTGATGATTATCGATTTACTTCTTATCATAAGTACTCATCTGAACTACGGGTCAGAACTCTTTAATATTTCATGAATAGGCGATGCAATATTTATTTGCAGAAAATTATGCACTCCGGTTGAAACCCTCTGTCAATATAACGTACCTAAATATGATTCAAAATCGACCCTCCAGAAATAATTAATCTCAAAATTCAACACGCAAAGCCTCCGATTATACCTTATTTAATACCAACAAACAGAGGTAAAAAGAATCGCACAAATGTCGATATTGCTGCACGATTCTCCCAATTTTCTTATTTGGACTGAGAGGAAGGAAGGGTGTCAGTCCCGCCTTGCACAATGTTTCAGGGGCGTAAGGTTCCCTCACGAGAACCTTAGAGGGGAAAAGGAGAGTCTAAAAATAGAAAAGTGCCCTCCGTAATTTCTGGAAAGCTCCATATTTGAGGTTTTAAAGTATTAAAAAATAGAAAATATCCCGATTTTCACCCATTTCATTTCGTTACGATCTCGTGATGCAAATCGAGCCTCCTTTTTAATTTACGTGACCTTGTGCAGAGCCTCCTCCCATTTACATTCGCATTGGCACATGGATTTAACATTAAATCAGTCCGTTCAAACTTTTTTAACGTAAAAAGGGGTGATGATACTAAGAACATTCAAGGAAAATCATGATTTCCGATTGGCTTATTAAGAAGGACCTATGCGTGTGCAAAATCCAAGCCATACGCACGTGGCAATTCAGAAGATTTAATCGATAATTGATACGAGGGCGGACTTTTAAGCAATCACCAATGACCACTTCTTTAAACCCAAATAATTTAATCAGTCAGCGATCAGGCTTATGTCATCATTTCCGATGAAAATAGTCTATTTTTACGACAGAAATATTGAATGTAGCTTCTATCTCACGTGTGTATCTGTTATTTTTCTCCTTCTATCCTCTAAAATCATCACGTGGTTTTCAATGGCGTGGCGTGCTTTGCGATGTATCGATTGATCTGCCATTTAAATGTATGGAAAAGGATCGATAAACAGGGGCTCGCAACGAACACCTTGATAATCGATTCTTTGCCATAGCTTCAAATAGGGAAGTATCGATAATCGATCATTTACGCTTCGCCACTGGTGGTTTTATTTCCCTCCTTCTATCCACCACTATGGTTTCAAAACACGTGAATCACAATAATTGATTAAAAGGCTGACCTTTAAACCCCTAAGAGTAGATGATCAGCTTAGGTTATTCGAATTTGAATCAGGAGGTTTCGAAAATCTCAAAGGTGCCGGCCCATTATTTTTCATTTTTAACTTTTGTTGGTCGCGGCTTTTATCAGTTTGGAAACCAGCATGCTTGATTTAAAACAGGCAAACATGTTCGATTGTCGGCTTTCATAAAGACTCGCCCTTATTTTATCTCCGTGTGTGCTAACTTTTCTCAGCTATCTGCCAAATCAAGTTCATTCAAAGATGAGTCATATCCTTGTTTTCTACAAATGCAACCACGTGACGTACGCGATGAAGATGAGAAAGGAATTTGAAAGTTCCAATTTATATATTAATAAAGAAAATATAAATATATTTTCTCAATTACCCTATTTTCAGCTCTAAGATGGCTCATATTATTAAGACTTATCAGGCAATATTTCAAAGGACAGATACACTTTGGATCCTTCCCTCATTTCTTTCATGGCTCGGACAGAAAATGTAGTTCAGCCGTCAGAATATTCCCTTTGCTTTCACATGGAAATTGGATATGACAAGATGCTTTGCTAACAAGGTATTCATTTTGATAAATCTTTGAGAAGATGCAGTTAGAGTGAGGTGTGACACTTGAGAGATTCACCAAAAATCGTTCCAAAAATGTTTAAAATAACTTTTTTTCAGGTCTGGTCTACGCAAGAGGTACAACCATTTTAATATATTTGTGGTGAAATTGCACAATAATCACCCTTAGCACATCAAATCTGCCTAAAATATGCTTTAAAATTCTCAATTTGTGCAGTTCACATCTCGTATTTTCCAATTTACCGCGCTTACGAGCACTTTTTTCTTACAATTAGTTGCCGTTACCAACAACCTGATTTGCTCGGAAAGAGACGTAGGTCGGTAAGGAGAATCTAACCCGACTGAACCAGCATGTCTTGAGAAACTGTAATCAATTTCTCTCGCGTATGACCTCAGCAGTTTTAAAGCATTCAATTTTACTTTATAATGCATAACGAAGGAGAAAACACACACTTGACGACGACAGAGCTCATATGTGCGCGAGAAAGACTGATAACAGTTTGCGAGATTGTTTGCTCACTAATGTTACATTTTCTCACATTTTTCTCTGGGAAAACTAAATGCTTCCGACTAAGATGCTTTGGTGCCCGTGAAAATGCTAAATTTCAATTTTGATTTGCTCAAAGTGATTACTGTATAGTTTCCACGCAGATTGGAAATTGCACGAGGGTTTTTTTTTCAAACCTGAATTGATCAATTTTTTTCTTTTTTTTCTTATATTATTATTTATTGGTTTTTGTGTGTAAGTGTCGCACTAGGTGGTTCTAAAATTGCCAAGGAAACTCCCAGTAAAAAAATTTTGCCGAACAACAAAACTGCACAAAATGCCTCCGTTAATTTTGAGTTCAACTCGATCTTTTAGCGGCATGAGAGTCAAATAGTGTGCGAGAAAAATGAAGGCCTCCAGAGGATTAAGTATAAAAATACAATCAGCGGAAATCGTGAATTATCTCGCCTGTCGTTCGGAGAGGTGCGGACGTTTTGATTCCCGCACGTGTGACATTGAACCTCCGAAAATGCCTCACAGCTCTGTTTTTTATGCGTCTCCATTTGGTCTCGTTCGACGGATATAAAGGCTTCAAAAGAGGAAATACACGAATAGAAAGGTCACGTCTCATGTTCATGGTTGATAGCAACGAGAAACAACTTAATCAGCCAAAATACACATAATAAAAGAACACATCATTGTTCTTTTATTATTGTTGATAACAACTGTATTTTTTTTTTCAAAGACTACAGCTTTCACGTTCTCTTACTCGTAAGTTTACCGAGGTACACAAACCGTTTCTGCCTCTCGGGTTAAAACGGTGATGAATCAATTTTAGAATCAGTACGGCGTAATTATTTAATGCAAAGCGGATAGCAAAAGTCTATGTCCTTGAAAAGCCGGCTCCAGACTATGCTCATGACCTCAGACTACAGTGTTTCCTCTATACTTAGCCAACATTTGCCGTTGCCTATCAGAAATTCGATACCTGCCAAATGACTATTAGTCACTGACTAAGTGACTAAGTCTGGAGCTGGCTTTAAAGATGTACTGGTCCACCGTCGCTAACCCCCCCCCCCTTCTCCCCAAAGCGCTCGGGAAACAATGAATGTCGATCCAACAATCGGAACATCACGTTCTGGGTATTCTAAAGGAGCGGGGCGGGGGTGGTGGTCTTAGTTGGCCGATTTCAATCATCATTACAAGCTTAGGTTTACTAAATTTGCTGCAAATTAGATAGGTAAAAAAATGAAGCTTTAATTGTACAGTGTGATCCAAAAGTCCTGCTTCACGCGTATAACTCGTTTGAGCCCCATTCCAGGGTACTTTCTTAAATTTTCGGAAGCTCCAAAAAGTCTTTTCTCTTTATACAGAATCACTTACAAAATTTTGAGTCTTGCTCAATTTGTTCAAAAATTACAGGGGTGATGCCTATAGTAATAGTGGTGCGGAACTTTTGGATCACCCTATATGTATTACTGTTCGGACAATTTTCCGCTCTTCAGAAGGCTTAAGATCTAAGGATTAGTCTCTCCTAATATGTTTTAATTTCAACGCTTCCTGCAACAGGTGGGGGGGGGAGGGAAACCTTGTTGAAATAGAAATTTGATGGCGATTATCGTATGAAATTCATCCTATTTGCCCTAAAGTAAAAGGAAAAGTAATGCACACTTAGTTTAAACTGCGTCATTGTCTGTATTATACTGTTTCATTTGATCTTCTTTAACACTCAATGATAATAAAATAACAGTGATAATAGGAATGGGCATTGAACTAAAATTTGTAGCCGCATTGCTAGACACTGCCAGTCTTCCTGTCTTGAATGTGGAAGTTCGTGATGAAAATCATGGAGTTTAGTTCCCGTATTCTTGAACAAGACTGGAGTGAAGTAACAAGGTGATACTAATATCAGTGAACGAAGCGCATCGAAACATCACGTTCTGGGTGTTTCAAAGGAACGGAGTGCGGGGGTGTGTCTTAATTGGCCGGTTGCAATTATCACTACAAGCTTTGTCGCAAAATATGCACGTAAAATAACGGAACTTACATTGAAAATGAGTGCGTGGTTGATAAGTGTGCGATATCAAGAAATGGGCCGATTACACGTTCACAGAATCGTGTTTTGATGGTTGATTCTCACAGATAAATTGGCAAGCAGTCATTTTGGCTGTCAAACCACTGAGTTTCTGAATTCAGTTTTCACACAGCTCCCACAAAAAAACGTCCGTAGATGACGTCATCCATCGCATCAAGCAGTCATTATGGCTGTCAAACCACCGAGTTTCTAAATTCAGTTTTTACATAGCTCCCACAAAAAAACGTCCGTAGATGACGTCATCCATCGCATCAAGCAGTCATTATGGCTGTCAAACCACCGAGTTTCTGAATTCAGTTTTTACATAGTTCCCACAGAAAAACGTCCGTAGATGACGTCATTCATCGCATCAAGCAGTCATTATGGCTGTCAAACCACCGACTGAATTCTGGTATTACGTAGCTCTCAAAAGAAAAACCGCCGTAGATGACGTCATTCATCGCGGAATTGCAAACCAAAGTTATTTTCAGTTCTAGTATCATCGATTATCGATTATTTGTAAACGTGCGTGTTTCACGTGGAGCAATAACCGTTGCCGATGAACGTGTCATTGATCGACGAGACCAAGACAGAATAAAAAGAATAAGCCAACGTGGTGACTGACGTCATTGATATGTTTTATCAGCGGGAGATCTCAATTTTCATTAATTTCTTTGAAGCATGTCGTTTAGATCAATTGCATTTTTGCGAATCCATCGGTGCACAAGTCATCACAGACGATTCCGTCACACCCAAAAGAGACCCTTCAGTCCTCAAATTAAACGGCGGCGTGAGTTGTCAAAGTAATTGTGAATTACAAGAATTTAGGAAAGTGACGCAAGAAAGAACAGGGAAATGCACTTTCATATTGAAAAAGAGGCCAAATATTTCGTCATTCACCACCGCGGATTTCTCTTTCAACTCAATTTTCCTTTGATCACTGTGGTATGTCCACTTCAAGCGTCAAGTCTCTTTAAACAGAGTACTTCGATACCTACAATGTCATGCCTCTTACTTATGTCTGCGTGCAACGACGTCTTTTGTTCTTTGCCGTGCAACCCACAGTTAAGCAAAGATTTTTCATTTCGAATATTTTTATTAATTCTTATCAAATTAATAACAGAGTCACGGTAACTGATGCTCATAATGGGTACGAAATGATGGACAATCTATTGATCCCACGATTGACGATTTCATCATGATTAATTCATGATAAGAATAGATGTTAAACGACTCGACTCTTATTGACCTCCTGAGAATATTTTTAAAACAAGCAAATGAATTTCGTCAACATTTAGATTGAGGTTTTTATTTTCTCTTCTTTTTCGGCGTCCTTTATTATCATTAAACACGAAATATGGTGCACGCATTCTACGCGCGGGAGAAGGACCATGATCCGCCTTCAATTCTAGAGATAGGCAAAAGCGGACTCTCCAGAGTCGTAATAGTGGTATCGTATAAACGTCACTGTATATACTTCATATTACCTGATGATTTTACGATGAATGTTTGAAAGAAGCATCTTCGACCGAAGTTCGAAACCACGTACCTCCGATTGCTACGTAGCATACTTCCCATCATATTTAATTTTTTATTTGGAAAAGTAGTCAACATATTTTCTTGAAAACTTTCTTGATGTTTCCTCTCTGTTAGCATAATATGCTGTATAGATTCCAATCTATAAAGTTGGCTTATTTATCTTCGGAAATATAAAAATTGAGAATAAATTTTGAAACACAGCAATGCTGCCGTGCTAAGGAAGAACGCCGTATCAACATTCCAGAGTTGCCAAATTTCCTTCGATAAAAAGTTCATTTTTGCGGAATGTTCTGAATATTTTTCCTTGAAATTTTCAGGAACTTCACGTAAAATTGCAAACAAAATCATCCGAAAAATTGGAAGGAAAATATTCATAAGTTTATCAGGAAATTAGTGTTTTATCAAATGAAATTTGGCAACGCCTGAAGGTTCATACAGTGTTTTTCCTTCGCACGGCAGAATGAAGATACGTGGTTTCGCACTTCGGCCATTGACATCTACTACCCTCACCTTTCAAATAACACAACCCTTTCTCTTTTCCTCTGTTACAGGCTGCATCGGTAGTCTGTCGCTCGGTCTGTCCCTGGGTTGGGCCGCGCCGGCCTTCGTCAAGATAAAGAACGGCGAGGCACCGTTCGAGCTCACCATCTACGAGCAGTCCATCGTCGTGGGCGCCTTGAACATAGGCCTCATGATCGGCACCTACCCCGCCGGCTACTTGATGGACCGCATCGGGCGGAAAACAACCCTCCTCTACGCCAGCAGCTTCTCCCTCATCAACTGGATCCTCATCGCCTTCGCCTCCTCCGAGCTCTACCTCTACGTAGCGCGACTCTTCGCCGGCCTCTGGGCGGGCGCCATCTCCACGCTGGTCCCCATCTACGTCACCGAATGCTCCGAGACCAAAATCAGAGGAAGCACAACTACCCAACATCTAGTCTTCATGAGTGCGGGTATACTCCTAGGCTATATTATCGGTCCCCAGGTGGGGTATATGGATTTCGCGTTGATCTGCGGTGCCTTCACCGTTTTCTTCGCCATAGTTTTCTCCTTCCCTCCCGAGAGCCCATACTTCTTAACCATGAAGGGCCGCACCGAGGAAGCCCGGGCGGCTCTTGTCTGGCTCCGAGCCACCGATGACGTCGACAACGAACTTAAATCCATCGAGGCCTTCATCGCGGACGGCACGAAGGGGCGATGTTCCTACAAAGACCTGGTCAAGAACCCCCTCTACAGGCGCCCCTTTTTCATCTGCCTCGTCCTGTGGTTCTGCCAGAAGTTCACAGGCTTCTACACTCTCATCGCTTACCAAACCGTGATCCTCCCGAAGAAACTAGGCGTGCTCACCTCCGACAACTGCACGCAGATCGTGGGTGTCATCATTCTGACGTCGGTGTTCATCGCTTCTCGTCTGATGGACGCAACGGGCCGCAAAGTGCTCTTGACGGTGTCTCACGTTGGCATCGCGGTGTTTATGGGTATCGTGGGGGCCTTGTACGCTCTCAACGACACCGGTTACATTCAGATTGAGGATTACTCTTACCTTCTTGTGTTCTCGTTCGTGGCCTACGTGTTCTCTTTCTCCATAGGGATCGGGCCTATCGCTTCTTTGTACACCGGTGAGGTGCTCCCGCAGGCCGCCAAAGGGACCGCGGGGTCGGTGATCTTGTCACTGTCCTCGATTGCGTCAGCTGGAAATACTTTCGCTTTCGCTGCCACTGCCAACTGGATAGGCATGCACTGGAATTTCTTCTTCTACAGCGCTCTCAGTGTTGCTTCGTTGGTGTTCGTGCATCTTTGTTTGACCGAAACTAGAGGGCGGACGTTCCAAGATATACAGAGTAACTTGAGCGTGAAAAAAAAACCGGAGATGACCACGATTGAAAAATCAGATGGGTCAGTTGCGCATTTTGATGGCAGAACCTCCTAAAAGCTGAGGCTTCCTATCCACTTTGCATTGGCGGATCCAGCAACTTGGCAACGTTGTTTTCCTCCATTTAAACCTATGGAAATGTATCGATTCTTAGAGGGGCCAGGTGCTCCGACAAGAATTGATTATTTAACATAGGTTTAAATGGAGGAAATCCGGTGTTGCAAATTGCTCGATCCGCCTCTGCCACTTTGGATGAATGTACCTCCCTAATTTCGTCGCTCCTCTGACGTAAGGGCGTATCTCGATTTCAACATTAGCCCTCTTCCCCATATAACTCCATGCTTTTCAAGGCTCTTGTGGAAATGGAGATACGTCTTTACGTCAGAGGAGCGACGATTTATGTGATGAATGACGTCATCCATCCACCATCAGTTGTACATCATGGTTTTCTCTCCCTTGGTCTCGTTTAGCATACGGATGATTGTTTGTATAGCCTGTGGTTAAGGCTCCAAGATCCTGTGCGTTTTTCAATGTACGCATTTAGCAAGGCCTGGGTATGAAAAACTGTGGTACGAATCAATGCAATGGATGTCGTCGCCAATTAGGTTTTTTAAAGGGTGATATTTCTGTTAAGGTTGGACGTATTTTGTTGCAAAAAATTTTCCTATATTTTTTTATGAATTTGTGAGTAAAACTCGAGAATCAAAGTAAGTTTTTTTGTCAAGACGTGCAACCAGCGTGCCGTGGCGGTTCTCATTGATATAGTGCAAAGCCATTTCCCAAAACATGTGAGAAACTTGCGTCTCGGTTGCTGAATATGACAGCAAACCACCTTTGCACGTGGACAGTGCATCCGTGCTTCCCGGCTGTGGAAAAAAACTGAAGCCTTAGAAAACGAGACTTGCAAAACCCTTGATACTCGTCTCCATTATCCAATCACTGAGTGCTGTTTTTTTGTTGAATGTTAAGAATTTCATTGAAACAAGTTATCTAAAATTTCCTCAATGAAAAGTGTCAGTTTCAATGAAATCAGCCATTGTTGTAAAAAATAGTGAAATGGCATCATTGATGGTTTGACACTTTGAACGAAGACAGTCATTCTTTTTTTTTTTAAAGAATGTTAGAGCCTTTAATCCCCTAAGGAGCTCTGAGCCGCTCAGAACAGGGTAATTAGTCAATAATGTTAAAAAGGTTTCGCACGATTACTCACCCAGAAGATCAATTGACTGAATGTTCACTTATTCAACTGCACTGCTTCGAATTATTAACAACTCAGGCGAAACCCTTAAAAATATTGATCGCAATTTTTATGTGAAAATGGCTTATGAAGCTTCATGTATACACCTATATGTCCAACACCTATGCAAAGTTGTTATTGTGAGTTAAATATAGAGAGATACCTAGAATCATTTTGTTAAAAAGTCGAGTGAGCAAAATAATAGCCGTCATCTTGCTTCAACTCAGACTGATGAAGACTCTCTCAAAATAATTTTACTCTGTGATACAATGTATTTAAACTTAGTTAGTACTTACTTCGAGTTCTGGTGCTGTTATGTTATACTTTGTAAGTAGTTTCTTTTGTCCTACTTTGTTGCGATAATCCTCCAAGTTCAAATGTTTGTTCGAACTATTTTTCTGAGGGAATCTTTCGGTTGGTAAACAGATATCTCTAAAGTTTGTTTTTATTTCTGTACCAAAATAATTCAAAAAGGAAAGACAAAAATCGTGCTGAAATCGTTAAGAGTGATCGTAGCGCGGGTCCGAAACAATGTGGAGGTCATACAGATTCACAACTTTTCGTATTTTCAAGCTGATATATCAAAATTCCATTCCCCGACACCAGATTTCTATTTGTACTTTAAACTTAAAATAATGTGTAATGCTAATCCTGCTCTCCCACAGGATCTTTGACTCACGGGATTTTTTGTTGTTAAATGGTATACGATCTCATAGTGTAAAGTTGTCTATGTCTAATCACCCTTATTCCCCCACTTAAAAGATAAGTGCCTTTATGTCTTCCGTTTTTAGTAAGTTTATGTAAACTGTTTGGCAAAGTTTAAATTGATACAAAAATTTATCTGTTCTTCATAAAATTTTAGTAATATCGACTCGTACCTTCACCGAACAAAACTCATTTTAAGTAAACGTGCATTTTTTATCGCAGTTCGGCGTCAGGTACTTTTAAACCTATTTGAGTTTTCCATCGACTAAATTAGAACCGGGAAGCTTTCAGTGTCATTTGTGAAGAGATTATGATTGTATCCATAATTGTTGTCCATATTTAATCCACGCGTCTGAGAATTAATTCTCCACTCATTTTGAGTGTTTAAGGTATAAGTATTTTCATATCATAAAAATACTTCGCAATAAGATCACGTACTCGTCACGTGACAACTCGCGGCTTTTAAGTTTTTAAAATTTGATTTTTGTTAAATTAAGATATAATAATCGGTTCAATTCAATGTAAACTTTATCAACTGTTATCAGTGATTGTCAAACATTGGACAGAAATCATCGGCAATGACCGAGGGGGTATGCAAATGATTCAGCTATTTCAACTGCATCATCGCCTTCTTAATCTATTATCTTAGTGCCTACTATTCTTCACGTCACGTCACTTCAGCGTGGCAAAACGTTTAAAAGTTATAAATAAAATGAGATTCTTTCATTTAATTTTGTTATTTTGAAAGAGAAATACTTTTTTGTTGCTTAATAATCATGGATAACGACACAGTTTTTTTAAGATATTATAGCATATATATTTGTCTGATTTAGTTTTTATAAATGTTTCTTCCTAAGATTGTTTTCTTTCCTTTCTAATGAATTCCATCATTTTGAAACTCAATCACAATTATAATTGTGCTATGAGCACTTTTAACATAAAATTCATAAGGGTTTTAAGACCTAGGAATACAATTTTCTTTTCCTGTTACCATCTTTTTTTTTCTTATGCAACCGACAGAAAATTTCCTGGGAGTATAGTAATTTCTAATTTTGCTGTCTTTCGGTGATACAAGAGATAGCACCTTTAATTAGTCGAGTTAAGAGAGAAACCAAACACGCAATTTGGCCTGGAATGGCGCGGCGCAAAGATCAATGATGACGAGGACTTGAGATGAAAAGGAGAAACCGTCGGCGCGGCGGTCGGCATGTAACACATATTAGCGCCTACAAGACTGCATGAATACTTCACGCATTGCGTCAATCATGGTGCAATCAAGAGCGGTCGGCGTGAAGCGCACAGCGCCTACAAGACTGCGTGAATACTTCACGCATTGCGTAAAGCGCACAGTGCGGTCAGCACGGCGCAGCGGCGAAAGTGAAAAGTATTAAACCACATTCATGTTTTTTCTTTAATAATTGGACCGCGTTAACAGAAAGGAACCAAGCCACATCAGCTATTGCCAAATTGGACACGGAAATTTGATTTTTTACGAGAGAACGTTTGTGCGGATTTCTCTGAAAATTTCAAGGAATTATCTTTGTATTATGGAGAAAATTCACTGAAATATGCACAAAAATCCGCACAACCGTTTGCGTGTAAAAAGTTAAATTACCCGATTAAATTTGGCAATATCTGATGTGGCTTGGTTCCTTTCTGTTTAACGCGGTCCAATTGTTTCGTTCGTTATTCTCTTAAATGAAAGACCTAGGTTTATGGAACTTTCACGCAAAGTTCCGTAAACTTTTGCTAAAGTTGACAGGGTTTTCGCAAATAATGTGTCCAACAAGAATGAACGCGTCTAATGCACCCCTCTCCCATAAGCACGTTCACTTAATGGTTTTCATTGATATTTCAAAACGAATGATAAAGTGGGCGGCAAAATGCAGGCGGCCCATGGGCGGCAAGTTGGTAAATCCGGCTCTGAATATTTGATTCAGTTTCGCCTGGATCTTCCGTTTTTTTAACTGTCTCAATTTCTTTTCTACGAGGAGACCCGCTGGAGGGAGGTCAGTTGATAATTACATCTGGGCAGTTGTTACTTACAGTTCCATATCGACGGTGAAACTACCAAACCACGTATCTCGGTTTGCGACGTCGCAGACTTCCTGTCATACTTTTTTTTAAATGAAAAACTACTTAACATCCAGTCTTGAAAATTTCTGTGATTTTTCCTCTTTGTGCGGAGAAAATTCCGTGAAAATTTCAAGGAATGATATTGATTTGGTCTACTTCAAAAAAATAAAATGTGAGCGTAGATTTTTAAACACCGCAAACGAGATACGTGGTTTGGTAGTTTCACCGTCGATATGCAATACTTAAATATTTTTTTCATTGGGCGGATCTTTGTGGCAAGAAGTTCTTTATTGTATTTTTTGTTGCATGTTGAGGCCCATATTTCTATTCCATACCATATGATTGCATATTCTTTGCTCTTTTCTGGACATTTAATTGGGAAATCAATTAGGGTTCCATTTAGGGTTCTTCATTTAGGGGATTTTTGGGATGTTTGAAGTCCCTTGTTTCACGTCCGTACGAGAGTCCGGACAGGTGTCCGTAATGAGAGAATTCGCCAGGTGATGAAGGTTGAAAAAGATATCGTGTACGACGTCATGTCCAGGCAGTTATGCTGGTATGGACATGTGCAAAGAATGTCGGAGGAGAGGTTACCCAAACAAGTTTTGGATTGGGTACCACCTGGGAAGAGGCGACGAGGACGTCCCGTAAAGGGTTGGCGGCAGGGCGTTGACGAAGAGATGTTGCGGTGTCAGTTGCCCGATAACCTCTGGGAAGACAGGCATATGTGGCGTTTGGGTGTCGTAGAACGCCAGAGTGCGTTATAAAGCGACTTTATATATATATGAAGTCCCTTGTTCAGGGATGATCGTTTTCCCTTTATCTAGAGTTTCGTCCCTGGCAATCTAGGGCTTCGTTTATGGAGGTATTTCTGTATCAGGGGTGGTGTTTGGGGGTAAGTTCTTCCTTTTTTTCCCCATTTTGATTTGCTTCATGCTTAGTCGTAGGGTCCTCAAGATGTTTTCCTCTTTTCAGCTGTTCTTCTACCTTTTGGGTTTGCCTGCGAAGTGGTGTGGATCTGGCCCTTGTTTTAGGCATTTCCTTTTTAAAGGATTCAAAATCAGGGATTTTCCCTACAAAATCCGTTTCTTTTCTGCTTCTCTTCCGTGTATTCCTTGGAGCAAGTCAATCTCTCCTTCCGGTTTCCAAGATATTTTCACTTCTTGAATTTCCATTTCTTCACTTACTATTTCCTCTTCCATTAGGGAAGTTTCCCGACCAGTTTTTCCACCTTCCAATTCTTTTATCTCTTCTTCCGTGTCAGCAATTCTTTTTTCTGCGGCTTGAAATTTTTCAATCAGTTTCCCCTCAGATGCTTCTCCCAGGTCACAAGCCTTTTTGGCTCCTCTTTTCTCTTTGTCCGAGGAAGTTATAATCCGCCCCCCCCCCATATATTTACCTGTAGGAGTTACCCCTTGGCGTCCTCCAGTCCAGCCGACTACGCGAACGGTGCGATTCGGCGACGCTACGCGCGAAAAAGACCATGCCTCTTTCCGAAGTCCCTCAATGTAAATAAACACCATTGAGGTTATGTCAGGTTATGTTGATTCAGGCAGAGTAAACAAGCACATGCTTATACGTATCCAGCAGCAATACCGTAAGTTGATAACCGTGAACGTAGAATGCAGCAACGATGCTCCGCTTTTGGTAAGGGAATCTTATCTTGTCATCTAGTGATAAGATTGCGACTCTTGGGAGAAAACCAACGTTGTCCCGCTTCGGGTGAAAGAAACAATTGAATGCAGTGTCAATACACACGTTGCATGCTATTTTGAACCATTTAGCGACATAAGGTTCAAAAAAGTTATATAATAGAGAAAAACTCCAAAAAGAAAAGCGTATTTTTCATCCCTGAGGAGGGAGAAAAAGGAAAAGAGAAAACGTCTACCAGTCTATCTTGCACTTACGCTTCTAACAATATAGAAAACATAAGAAATTCCTAGTAAAAAAACATTTAGATATTTCCAAAAAACTGTTCGTGTCAGAGGAGCGGTTGAAAGCACTACATGCTTCGACGGCGATTGATAACGAAGTCCTGTTACCATCTTGTGTAGGCGTGTTTTTAAACGCGACTGTAGTAATTGTTATTTTAATTGTTACCTACACCAGAATTAGCGCCTTTGAATGTTTATACTACGCTGCCCTCATGATAAATTGTTTCGTTTCATTTGCATAAATCTTAATAAAGTTTGATTTTCCTACTTTCTCAACGATTTATAATCGACACATCATGAGCATGACCCTAACCCGAAATCACAATAGTTACAGTGCATCATGCCTCCGAAAAAATAAAATCTGATTTTGATTCAATTGTCTGAGAAGTTAGAAATGATGATTCTACTCTTGTTAAAAAATGTTTCATTTCACTCTCATTCCTACTTACTCGCCACAGATGTATACGAAACGGTATCTCCCGTATTTGCAGGCGTTTTTAACAACCGAAGTTTCCGCGTGACGCTGGTTGTCTCGACTTGCTACTTGTTTGGTCTGCGTCTGCTCGAGGATTCAGGAAATAACCCTTCAACAATTGTATGAAACATAAAGCTCCGGGAGATGGTGCTTTTTTGGAAGTTACGGAACATTTCAATCCCTCCCCCTCTCCCATTCGTACGCCCCTGGCTTCCTCTTCTGACAAGTGTATTTAACATAAATTGGATTTTAAACGCTTCGGAGCCAATGCAGCTTCCTGCCAGAAGTAGATAATCCCTCAAAAAGCTCTCACCCCCACCACCACCTCCCTTAATTTAGGACTTGGATCCTTATTTTTGAGACAGACGACCTAATTCCTCACGGCAAGAATGAACTCCCGTATAATGTAAGAAATGAAGCACCAAAGCATATGTTTACTCGTTAGAGAATTTCATTTAAAACAAGGTGGAAAATAAAATAATAATTTCTAAAACTTATCAGTGAGGAATTAGGGTTATTTGTACTCGACAATTCGAACTTTCCACTTGCCAAAATACCGAAGTTCATTTGAGATTAATAGAACATTTAATTAAAATCTGTGCACTTTGAAGTGAAAAAACGTTTTCAGGGTTCCAATTTTTTCATGACAAGTTATATTAAGTCAAAGGAAAAATGTGATTTTGGTGAAACCAAATTCCACAGTCACCTTCGGAACTCGTAAGTTGGTTTTCACTAACCGATTTGGCCTACTTAAGGTGATTCGCTGGACGCCATATGTCGTGTCAGAATGGCATGCGATATATCGCAACAATTGTTCCATTTTTTCAGCTACTCGTCACTTTTCTCCAATTTTGAGATCGCAATTCTGTTGTCAGGAGACTAAAGCACTCATAAAGAAATTCAACGTAATAAAGGCGTGGTTTTTTTAGAGAGAAAAGATCGCATTCGAGTGCAGTTTCAATATCAGTATCGAATGCGATGTTTTCTCTCTGAAAAGACCACGCCTTTATTACGTTGAATTTCTTTGTTAAAAGTGGTAAGCGAGTGTTTTAGTCTCCAGACAACAGAATTGCGATCTCAAATTTGGAGAAAAATGACGAGTAGCTTACGTCACCCGAAGCTCATCATTCACCTAGTAGGTATGATAACTGTTGCTCTCTTATATTTGTCCATAAAGTGTTGAGTCTCCGAAAATAAAAGTTTCCACCTGTCGCCAAGAGGCCAGTGGAGGGTCTCTTGTCTCTAGTTTGGATAGAAACTCGAAACTTGTCTGATGGAGATTCTCCTCGTTGTGATGTCATGCGACATACACTCTAAAAGGCTGTCAATTAAAACGCCTGTTCAGTACTCTACATGTATGCACATGCCCATGC